CAATCCAACGCCAATATACCACAAATCATCCAGTACTGCGTGCACCTCAACCCGTTCTTCCACCCTCTCTCCGCATCCCAAACCTTTTCGCAAGCCTACTCCTCTTCACACCCTCAACTCTTTGTCTAAACCTCTTCCAGCTCTTATCACGCTCCTCCCAATCACTCATCTGCGCTACGAATAATTAGCTCCGTCCATAAGAAATATCCGGCTGCCTAACCAAGCCCATCAACAAAAGGACGCAACATACCAAGCAACCAATCCCACCGGCGATCCTCCCTCTCCAACACACCCCAGCCTTCCTCCCTCCTTAACCTCTCCTCTCTCGCGCTCCTCGCCGCCACCTCCCCCACCAACCACGGGTCCTCCAATGTCCGTATATCTCGCTCCCGCGCTTCGGCGTCCATCCTCTGCCTCAGCGCTTCGATGGCGTCTTCGCCCCGTAAAGCGGCTGAAAGAAGTGTGAGCTGTTCCTGCGTGGAGCGCACAGAGGCACGGCGTGAGGCGACGGCATGGTATTGTCTTGTCGTGGGATTTGGTAGTGCGGCGGGCGGGCGGAAACTGGAGAGGGAAGGCAAGGTTGACGCTCGAGAAAGCGAGTGCGAAGGTGGGAGGATGGGCGGCAGGCCGTCGTGCTGGGTAGGGGAAGGGTATGGAGGGAGATAGCTGGTATAAGGTGGCGCTGCGGAACGGATTGAAGCTGTTTCCAGGTCGAGGGGTAGATGTGGACGAGAGGTGTATGGTGGGGGATCCGTGGTCAAGACATGTGTTCGCGCACTGCAGATGGTGCAAAAGCTTGGGGTACACAGGGCAAGTGGCATTTCATATATTGAGGATCGTTGCTCTGCGCCCGTGAGGGAGACGGGGAGAGAGATATCTACATCATGCTTCACTGGTGGTTGCTGCTTTCCTTCCTGTGGAATGCTCTAAGCCCAGCTCAGTGAGGGGTTCCCGCAGCGCTCGGCGCCAAGATTCCTGCTCATGTCGTAGCCGAAGAGAAAAGGGGCCAGTAACTGAGATCGTTGGGCAGTGGAAGGGAAATAAACTCTCAATTCATAACAGTCCATATCAGCAAAAGAGCAACTCGTACATAAGACTCACAAGGGAGAGCCATTTAATGGCGCAAGTTAGTTCACTCTGAACTGCTAGCTCATGTTTTTCAAATTGAAAAAATCCCTTGTCTATACTGACAAGCTACTAGTGCTTATGCAGCCGCATTATCAGGTCCATTGAATCCTGATTATTCGATGTCTCTGGATACAACTGATTTCTTGGATTGTGTTCTTATAGATTTCTCCTATTTGGCAACCTGTGATCGTTTTTAGACACCATCTTCTTGATTATCCAGAAGAGCTTGTTTTCTATCTTGTATGATTGTATGATCACCCAAGATCTCTCAGAGGATTATGTAGTTTCAGCATGATGGCAAATAATCAACTATTCGCTCTCAGAGTTTGTAATTACACTCTTATATCGCTGCTAAGAGTTTGATATTCGCTTCTTAAGCTCGATCTTGGTGAATTGGTAAAGAGACACACCACCTTAAGAGTTACAAAAGTTTATTACCCTAGTAGTTCGAGCGGCTGGGTCCGAGGTCTTATATTTGTGCACTCTTCTATGTGTTGTAATATTTTGCTCCGAGATAACTCTCGAACTTGAGTTGATTCGATAACGAAGTCAGCTTTTTTCTCATTCTCTGTAGAAATCTTGGCAATAAAAGCTTCTGACAACTCCAATCTAGATTGCGCAACCATATGTGGGAGTAAGTAAACTATGAAATGGAGGACTTTGAAAACAAGCAAGTAGTCACTATACTCGCTGACAGAGATTGACAGCACAGTAGAGTCTGGCTATAATTAGAAACCTAGTATACCCTAAACACGCTTTCATAAAAAGAGTCGATATCGAAGCGTAATTAACCGCCTCTTAACCTCTAACTAAGTCAAGGCTAGCTAGAACGAAAAAATAAAAAAGAACAAAATAAGCCAGAGACATAAATAAACACAACGTATAAGCTCAGAATAGCGTTACCTTGCCAATCTCAAAGAAAGATTGGAGAATCGTGAACGCTGATCACAATGGGAAAATGAAGTTTAAGCTCCGACTGATACTTCGAGAACAGCTGAAGCCTACAATGGACTGGCAGTGAGCCATGTAAGGTGTATTATTATCATTATGCATGGAAATTGCTGCATCAAAGTAAAATCGCTCTAAGAGCAAAATAGGCTCCAATAGTGCCTGCAAGTAAGGCAAAAAGGGTAGTGGCACCTTCCGGAGTTGTTGTAAAATATGCTGCATATCCTACAAGTAGTTCCAGTCTCCTGCCTCTCTCAAGTTTGCTCTTCCAATCTATATCAATGTCATAAGGCGGCTGAATTCTTGGATCTTTGTTGTCTGCGATCGCCTCACTCGGCTCTGGTATAGGTATTAATGGCACTGAGACATCGAGGGTAACCGCACGGTGATCTGAAGTGGGAAATAGGGGAAGTGCGGAATATTTGTGCGCAGTGATCTTTGCCTTGGGGTGTTGTTCTTTCATCCAAGAAGGTATATCGAGCCACAAAATCCGATCACACCAACTTGGCCATCTATGCGTTGCCCAATGCCACCTTGCCAGATCTTCATCATCGGCGAGGAAAGGCTCTTTGGAATCATATTTATACGTCGGTGGAAAAGTGACTGGAGCCTCGATCAAGCCATGGCATGTATTTCCCGCAGCGATTTCCTGATTCAGTTGGTCGTTCTCGAAGAGTGAGGAGTAATGCTGTGGCGATGACTTGTCATGATGTGGCTGGGGAAACAAGTTTAAATGGTCTGTTGATGAAGGTCCAATAATAGAAGTTCGATAGTTTAAGTCGCCTGCGAGAAAGAGATGTGATGTCGGCTTGTAAATCGAGGCGGCTTGAGGAGATATCGAGAGGAGAGGACGTTCTTCGCTGGGGGCCGATAGTGAAGTAGCATTCGTTCCCTCTTGAGAGGCTGAGGAGAATACTAAACCGCGCACAATGCTCTTCCAGTCCTCGTTTCTTTGTTGCAGTGCTGCTTCCCCTGCAGCCAAATGTGCAGCGATAAGGGTCAGCTCGGCGGAGGAAGCTCCGCTACCATATCTGAATCGTGCTCCAACAGCTGCTTTGTTTCCTAATGTTGATGCTCCTAACCCCACCCCTCCTATCTCCAAGTCTTGTACGGCTGCTGCATCTTTTGCGAAGACCATGAGCCCGATCATTCCTACATTCCGTGTTACTACTACGGTGTAAGCTTCCGGTGCATCCGACAATTTCCGAGCAGCGCTTTTGACAGCATCGTGAAATTTGTTAAAGTACGGAACAAGAAATGAGCCGCCGATGAGAGATGGTGCAACTGGTGCTATCTCTTGGAGGGAGAGAACAAGCAGGTCTGGTAGTTTTGCATGAGCAAGACCACTGAAGAGCTGGGAGGCAAATGCATCGACATTTATGTACTCTCTACCGCAATTGAAGGTCACGATATAGAGACTAAGATCTGCCATTGGAACCCTTATGACTAGTAAATAGTCAGGTCATAATGTTGTTCTCAAGTCAAGACGTCACCGCCTGATAAACCAAGTTCAGCTTGTTGCCCAGCCTTGTCAGCCTTGCATTCCCTGTTTCTGAACATCTGAGTAGAATAGGGATTTCGCAGGCAAATAGTATTATGCACGACAAACTGACACTGCTCATCCTATATACTACCGCTGAACTCAGGCTTGTGCAACATTTCTCCAAATGTTTGAGGGACTTCTTGTGGGATTTCCAGGTTTGCTACATCATCAAAGTGGGTCCGTTGCCATGAGAACTCCCCTCTGTTGACATCCCAATAATCAGCCTCGTCAACTGCTTCAAACCACATAGTATCGATCATGCAAAACTCGAGAATAAATCACTGTACGAATTAAAATTATACAAAAATGGTACTTCTGACAGCTAGTCAGGTTTCTGTCGCGATATCATCCTTCATCAGTGCGTATTATGCATCAATATTTAATCGGTTTAGCTAAAGAATGACAGTATTCATGTTCACATCAGCGCTCTTCTTCTGCGGTTATGCTCTTCAACAACAAACTCTACGAGATTTACGGACAGCAATAAAACCGAGAGAACCGCCGCCTCCAGAAGCGAAATTGTATCTGCCTTCACAATTTGCAAAACCGAGTCCCAGGCAAGAGGGAATTGTGGTGGAAGTTATGGACACTATTGCGGATGCGCAAAATACACCTATAACTGAACAGATACCACTAGAGAAGCTAAGGCCGGCCGCGGCTGGAAGACGAAGAAAAAAAACGCTGGTCGAAGACCCGCGTCGTTATGATTTGTCGCCCGAAGAGAAAGCATTCTTAAGTGAGTTAGGGAAAGAGAGCAAGAAAGATGCGCTTGCGCAGGAACAACCATTAAGCAGAGCAGAAAGAAGAAAAAGGATTAAAGCAGAGCTCACAGACGGGAGCGAGGAAGAGGGTTTCAGAGGGTATAGGAGACGGATGTGGTAATTGGGCACTATTGGGATTTGTAGCCCTTGGATTGGGTTCATAGCAGGCGGAGTTCATGTTAGGATATGGGTGATTTGGATTGTACAATAACTTTAGACACGAAGTAATGACACAAGAGATGAATAGCGGAATACTCACTTTTGAAGTTGCATTGAAGATCTTGCTGCTGGTAAGGATATAGCGCTAACCAGATTTCGAATTAAGCCGGTCTATTGTCTACATTAAACTATGACAAGCAGAGAAAAACACAAGAAAGAAAACCAGCCTTGGTGACGTGACGTCTCCATTTTAGTGTTTAAAAAACCATCCTAAATGTATCGGACAAAGTTAGGTGAAAGAATGTTTGTGCCAAGAACATTCATCACTCTCGGCAACCGATTCAATTTATATTGGTTAAAACGCCCCACTGACAGACTCGTTAAAACGAAGAGCTATTTCGACAAAAAAAACCCCCATGATAACACCATCGCCGCCTAAAAAAATTTGAACAAGAGAGAATTGCGTTCGCCGGGAATCGAACCCGGGGCCAATCCATGTTGCGAAGTGGGTTACACTAGATGGCAAGGATCGATTTTACCACTAAACCACAAACGCTGATTTGTTTGATGCTTGAACAGGTTTCGCTTACCAAAGTATATAGACCAAAACTCAATATTTCAATCCTACATTAGTCACAAGAATGTCCTATCTTTATTTCGAAACTTGGAAATGTACAACAATATTTAACATGTATCTCAAGAATAAACATCCATTGTTAAACTTTCAAATTCAAATTCAAATTTCCGAGTTTAGTTTTTCGCGATGTAGTAATGTATGGAAGGTGGTAGAGGGTTCAATTGTGTTAAATCTCACTGCTCCAGGCAAATACCAATGTACCAAAGACTGTCAACATTAAAAATGCGAGATATCCTGAAGATTCCTTACACCTTTGGCCGCCGTATGTCTACAAGCCTCTGTATTTCCAGTGTATCAGATATTGTCAACATCGAACATGCAAAGTCCACCATATATTTCTTTGCGCCATCGGCGAAACGTAAGCTGTAGATACTTGTATCTCCAATGTATCAAAACCCATTCACATTGAACATGAGATGGCCACCATACTACGATCCGGGATATTGGCAGTTGGAACTGTATGAGATGACGTATTTCGAATGTATTAATCATTGTTGACATTGAGACTGATATGCCTCATACAGTTGCTTAGGCTAATACCAAGAAGAACCGAGCAAATAGCATTTTCAATGTACTGAGGGACTCTACCATATTAAGGTCAGGCAATCCCCTAATGTTTACCTTTTGCGGAGCTTGGATATGCCATTTTCCCTTGGTGTTATAACATCAATCATTAGTTCCATAAACTATGATTATCATCTCAACACTTACAAATTTCAGAATAACCACGTTTTATCTCGATACTACTTGGAAGTGACAATTCGTGACTCAGCAATTCCTACCATGAGTCAAATCCTCTCCTCTCTACGACCTATAGGACTAAGCCCTTCATATCCTTCCCCCTCTGTTCAATCTGAATTCCTCTTCAGAACTGCTTCAACTTCTCGAAGCGATGGGACTGCCTCACTGGCCAATAAGGTATGCCTACATACATAACGCCTCAGTATATTCACGTCTTCGCCTGATGTGTGACACTAGCAATCGTGGTGTAAAGCAAATGCGACATGTTTTCCTGTTTTCCTGAAACTGTGGACATTATGGGCTTTGCTGCATGTTTGTACACTGCATCTTACAAACCTCCAGATCTCAATGGAGCTAGGCAGGATAACCAATCTCGGTCCCAAGCTCAATCCAAGCCGAGTTGTCATGCTCAGAGTGTTATATAGTTGATTGTTACTATGAAATCTCGCTCGCAGTTATCGTCGCAATGGCAAGAATATGAAGACGGAGTGTGAAACATAGACGCTAAGTATCATATATGTCGGGAGAGGACGATGGTCACATAGAAAACACATGAGAGTTCACCAGGAGTCCTTGCTAGTGGGATTAACAAAAAGAAGAGATGGTATGAAGTTCGGGAGGTCGAAGAGACTACTTACGGGACAAGCTTGATGTGATGATTCATTATGACATATGAGAGTCTGCTTATAAGTATGAACAATGATAAGGTCATTTTAATTGCCCTATAATTGCACCAAGGTTGCAGTCTGATTTTGTACATAATAATGACAGCTCATAAACCAAGCATACAGTGAATATAAAAGATCCCGAAAATCAACTTCTGGATATTAATTTAGTAGAGATAAAAAGACAACTACAAGGACGAGGTTTCGAAATCCAGGTTACGAAAGCGATGTGTAGACTATCTAAAAGCAGAGCGATCGCGAGAAATTAGTCGCTTAGCAGGCAGAGCTCTCCTCCTAACATCTCGTCAATATGTATCTCAATGCATTTTTCTTGGCTTCCCTGGAGTTTTGGAGCCTGGAGACCAATCCGTTCATATTCTTACCCCCAAATTTGCCTATTTGCATGGTGCTAAGTTGCGGCAGAATCATCAGGACGGACACCTGTCACATGGCTGACACCTAAGCTAGAAAATCACTGAAACAACATATAAAGTGGGCTCTTTTGAGAGGATGAGATCAAATTTCGAAAGCGGCGTAGTTCTTCACAATAGTTATCAACCTTCTATCAATAACTGCGAGAACTTCTGGTTCGTATGTCATGTAGAAAAGTGGAGCTTTAATCGATGAGGCCTTGGCAGCAACCTCGTCCTGGTAACCAATACGCACCAAATGTCCGATTTGAATGCTATCGTTAACATCAGAACACGAGAAGCGAAGGTGCGGCGCCAGAATCGGAGACATAGCATTAATTGCCAGAGGCGTATTATAAGACTTGAAATTATCAGAAAATGATAATCCCTGGCCGCGCACTCATCGCCCGTAAAATCATCAACAATACCCTAGCTCCAGCTCTACAAAGCCAGCCATGCGGTGTCGACTTGACGCTGAAAAGAGTTCTTAAGTGGACATCTCACGGAGCGGTTGACTTTGACAACACTTTACGTTCGGTAGCACCTACTCAGGAGATTCCCTTTCAGCGTCCCTCCCAACTGGATCGAGACCTTAAGAGACCAAGCGCCATCAATCAACAAACTGAAGCCAACCACGAATATATACATCTACCCCGGGGTTCTTTCCTTGTTGAGTTCAACGAGACTGTCTCGGTTCCTCTCGATGTTATGGGTCAGCTTTTCGTCCGCAGCTCGCTTTTCAGATCTGGTGCACTTTTAAGTGCTGGCGTCATGGACAGGTATGCTTACTAGAGCCATACTCCCTGTTTTGAATGCTTGAGGAATTTTGGTGCTATCAAGGCAAATTACAGGAGCTAATTCATTGCCGTCTTAAATGTATCAAGACCCCTAAAATATTCTCTATATCTAGAATCTGAATGGAAGAAGCAAACTAACTCGGGGATTAATAGCGGGTATGAAGGTGCTGTAGGCGCTTTGTTGCAGGTTTTAAATCTTTCCGGGATTCGGCTTTATAGAAATTCCAGGCTTGCGCAGTTTGTTTTTCATCAAATGAGTGAGCCTGTGGCAGGTTATGATGGGGTGTATCAGGGAAAGAAGTCTCTGTCTTGAAGTGGCGGCCTACCTGTAGTCGCCACTTCCTGGCATTATACTGGACGTGATTTCGCAGCAAGAAGTATTAATTCGGACGCTCCTGCCTATATTACCTCTCCATTAATTTAACAATCCCATCTCCCATCTTTCCATCAACATTATTTCCCAAGGTTCGCATTTCCGACTAAGTTTTGCCTCGACTCTACCTTATCTTTACTCAGCACCACCAATTTTAGATACGTAATCAGTCAGGACTTTGAGATAATGAATTCTAGAGCATCTTCTGACTCAGAAATTATTTGTGCGGATAGTGAGGATAGTGAGGATGAACTTGGTGATGCCCAATGCATCCCGTGTGTTTCCTCATCCAACGAGCATATCATGGGCTTGTCTCTCAGAAGTTATCTCGCTCGGACTGTCCATAGTCTTGTGGGATCTCGATTATGGACCAAAGTCATCGTTCGGGCTGATTTTGAAAAAGTCGAAGCCATACGTGATCGTTCGTCTAGCGATTTATGGACAAACTGGCTATATTTGCGCGTTAATGGCGACGTCTTACACCTCTTTGTGTTCCCTGGAAACATGTTGGTGACAGAAATTGCCAACACCCTATCCACGTATTATTGGTTGCAGTGGAAAGAGTATCGAGATCCGAACTATAATATACCTGTGAGCTATGTTTTACCGACTCTGGAGCAGAAAATAAAGGCTTTCACAGAGTCGAACCTGAGGGACCTTGGTACCCTTCATGTCGCGATCTTAGGCTACGCCCAATGTTTATTCCCTTCCCAGAAATGGTATGATAACTTTTCAGAGACCTCTTGCAATGACATTTTTGTGTGGAAAAGGTTCACCACACGAAACGGAGTTCGTATCGCTTTCATCGCCTCCAAACATGCTATATCTGGCGACAGTGTGGCTGATATGGTTCGGGCACTGCAGAAGCTTTGCAAGGTTAAAACTATAATTTATCTCGGCTTTGTTAGATCCTTGTGCGAGGATCATATACCGAACGCTGTGCTAGCTACTGGCAACTGTAGCAATATTAGAGGACATTTGCTAAGCTGGAAAGACCCGATTCAGCTTGCTTTGTATATGGCCAGGCTTGAGAACGATCCACTACTGGAAAATCTCCATATGCTCATGCGGTACGGTGTTCATCATCATCTACCTTCGGCGCTACATGCTACGACAGCCTGGGTTAAAAGCCATTCGTCATATCATTGGGCAGACTCAGATATCGGCGAGGCGGCACTCGCGGCTTTCGAGGGTGATACAGCTTTCGGCTACCTAGCAGTTGTGGCGGAAAACATCATTACTCATAAAGGTCCTCCTCTGGTGATGGATGACAAGGAACTTAGAAAGAGGGATATTATTATTCAGGCGACACGATCGGTTCTTAAAATCTTCCTAAGGAGGTGTCTAACGATCCCTAGGGAGCATCTGATGTGGAGTGATATTATGGATACAAGTTAGGCGTGTTAGTATTAGTATATCGGTGTCCGTTACGCCCCGGCGTTAGATCAGGAATACATCATATACCAAAGTCACACGCTTCTACTCTTGGTTGAAACAGCAAAATACTTTCGCGTCGTTGACGATACATGGAAAGTTATAGTTCGTTATAAACTAGTGCACAGCTTTTACACTATTACATTTGGCGGATCGTCTTTCCAAAAGCAAGCGTCTCTTAATGTGTCATAGTCCTCGATAAATTTGAGCACGAACCTTCTCACCTATTCAATGTTGTTAGAAACATCTCCTGGTTCTACATGATTTGAATCTGGTGATATTCATGAGATGAGACTTTTCTAGGTGAAATAAATAATATTCTAGTTCTCTATTATTTTTCCATTTGTAGCCGAAAACGACATATTGAAATATCGCGATTTTAATAATTATACTTTTGCAACTACTCTAGGTGCAAATAAAACTATCAATTAATATTTTATTTAGTTTGTAGATTACAAGTTAAAATTATTTTTCCGACTGTATTAAACTGCCACGATCA